ACTGTAAAATGGGACCAGAATTACCATCCATTTTCTGGCAAAAATATATAAATACTATTATTAATTCAATACAATCACTGGTCAAAAAATAATCCTTACCATCACTATCTTTGTCGAATTTCAGATGAATCAACTCTTTTGCTATCATTTTCTTGCCAGTTACTGGATTGACACCATATTTTTTTAAGTATGGAATAATTTGTCTGAAAAAACTTTTTACTGCAAAAGACTATCACAGTAAAAAAATGAATTTTCTCATTTCTGCCGCTTTTTTTTTATTTTTTGCTCGTTTTTAAGTTTTTAAAATTAATGAATAAATACGTCTAAAGCTCTCGTTTTTCGCTAAAATAAATAAAACAGTAAAAAGCAAATGTTTGATATAAAAATGATGGAATGAAAAAACATCAGTGTTTTTGTATATTTTAATTTCAACAAGAATTAGACCCAAAGTTCATTACATAAAAATAGAAGTCCCAATACATACGTTAAATCAAAAATGATTCCATCTTGTGAACAAACGGGATCCTCAAACGGCAGTAGCGATAGAGAACAATGTGTAATTGGTAGGCGCTTAAACAAAGCACGTTGCATGCGCCTACCGGTATCTGTAAGATTTTTTATAATCCTAAAATGAACACTAAAATATTCATCCGACTTTTCTACCATTTCAAAGTTCTAAAGTACCAGTATAATGTTCTCTAAATTTCAATATTACTTGAAATTAAAGTTCAAGCTTTCAAACAATAAACTTCAAGACGAAATCCCTAACTTAAGCAGATCAATTCACTTTAAATCGTATTCGTTACTTTCTGCATATAAAAAAGAAAAAAATACCATCTTTGTGACCGCCATAAGTTTCTTTCCATTCGCTTGTTGTCAAATATCTGAAAAAAACATGCTTATGACTGAATATATAATTACCTGGAGTGGAAAAAAACTAATAAATATAAAGTGGAATAAAAATAAAATAGAATAGAACATAATCAAGAATACGTACATAAAAAATTTAATCTATAATGTTTCTATAATGTTTTCTCATTCTTGTGAATTTCCTTCTTTATTGTCTAATTCTTTATTCAATTGTTGTCTAATTCTTTGACTGCACTAGTTTTCTCCATTATTCCCGTTTTATTTCGCTTTTTCTACCTTGTTTCTTTCTTACTTCGATTTTTCTATCTTATTCCTGTCTCATTTCCGCATTTGCATAATTGAGAAATATCAATTCAAAAATTCACAGGGTAAATTCTTCGCAAAGCAAAGAAACCCCGAACCTCAAATTCCAAACAAATGATAAAATTTAATGGTTCAGCCTACATTAAATTCTTGGCAAAAAAAAGTATCGATGTGTTTTCAATTAACAAAATTTAATCAGAAACAACTTACAGTTTATCTTTTTGATGCTGCTTCTTTCCCATATTTGAAGAGTTGTAAAAATTATAAATGCAACTCCAAAATTTACAAATAAGAAAACCTCAATAAAAATCAAACTGTTATTACAAATGTTTTTTGACTAAAATCATAACATTCCACCACTCTCCTATCAATTTAACCATATCTGAAGGTCTTAACTTTCTAAAATAATTTCCCGAAAATTCCCAAAAATTTCACTAAGTTATTTCCGTATCTCACAACCTTACTTACTTCACATTCGCCCGTATGTCACGTGAAAGCAAGGAAAATACGGCTCCCATTAACCATTATAGCTGATACGCTATGCAACTCTTTCAACAATCAGCAAAATTGCCGCATAGGAATGAATGGATATTCTTAAATACGGTACCACGTCAAAAGCAGATTTAAGGAAAATTCATTAAAGTACCGCGATATCGCGGAGCAAAATTTCGTACCTTAATATTGATTATTTTTCTTCCATAGAAATGCATGCAAATTACAAAAAAGAAAAAAAAAATGTACTATCATGCGAAACAGATAGATTTCTTCCTATTCCATACAATAAACTCCAAAAATTCGTGGAAAAATTTTCAAAAATTTGAGAAAATGTTTAGAATGCATTGAAATTACTTAGCTATGGCTTAAATTGTTCGAACATTTGCAGGATATGATTAATTTTAAAAATTAGATTGATTTATCAAATAAAATCCTTGCAAATCTTGCTAACTGAATCATTTCAGGCAATTTCAACTGAATCTCGAATTTTATTAAATTAATTAGCAATAATGTTTTTTCATTGTTTTCCTACGAATTAATCTTTTTGCTTAATTCAAATTAAATTCATATGCATGAATCAATTTGATCCATTAATGATTTTATTTCATCGGATAATATATCCTGGAAGATTGTTAAAAATTTTTTCTTTAATTTTTAAAAATTTTAAAATAATACATTTTATTTAGATGCAGAAGATGAGAAAATATGATAGGTAAAATTATTGCGGTATACATAATTCAAGCGATCCTTTAAAATTGACCAGTAATTTAAAATCGATCAATATAATATTTCACAATGTTGTGGCAAAAATCATTCTCATTGTGTTTTTTATCTTTGCATTTTAACATTTTGCATTCGTTCAGCATTGCATTTTAACATTTTGCATTCGTTCATGCTTATAATTGTTTACTTCCGGTCGATAACAACAAAGGACAGTTGAGTTTCTAGCAGCATTGGCTTATATGCAAGCTGAAATCTAAAAAATCGATAAGTTAAAATTCAAGTTAAACGTAAATAAATATAAATTGAACAGCTGTCACGTCCTCCAGTTTTTGCATTTCCACTGGAAGAATTGGACATGAATCTATCACTGATATGATAGTCTATCAGTTCAACATGTAGGAAATTTGATAATTTATCAATTTTCTATTACTATAGTGTTTAATACGGTAAGATCAAAATATTTTTTATTTCTAGATCATATGATTCACATTTAGTTGAAGTAAAAAAAGTGTGTCTAATAAAGGTTTTTCAATGATAAATAATAACGCTATCAAAATGAGTGTAAAAAATAAATTTGAAAAATATTCACTAAAGCACCGCAATATCGCGGAGCAAAATTTCATATTTCAAGTAATACATGCAAATTAGGAAAAAAAGTACAGCACTAATTATAGCTATTATAAAAAATATTCATTGATTTCTGAGGATTTTAGTTCATATCAAATTGGACAGAATTGACCTTTCCATTCTTGAAATTTCTTCTGCAACTTTGCTTATTTTTTAGGGAATATTTATTGTATAAATTAACACTTTGCTACTACAAGTCAAAGAAATTGATGATCACATCAATCAATACTTCATATGTCACAACGTTTGTGAATCAGTATTTGCTATATTTGCTATGTCATTCTCATAAATCATTCTCATTGTGTTCTTTATCTTTTAGCACTGCATTTTAACATTTTGCATTCGTTCATGCTTTTTTTTACTATGATAAAGAAAATGGAAAAATTGAATCATATCTATCTCAAAAGATACAGTAAACTTTTACTTTTTTAATTAGCCAATCAATATTTTCTATGCTAAAACACTACGGCTTTATTTTAATAAGAACTGGAAATTTTTTACTCGAAGTTCTTCCTCTTTTCATTGCATATCTTCATTAGCAATTTTACGAGCTAACATTTGCCTCTTCCATGGTGGTAACAATTTCATTCTACCACTAATGAATTCAGGCACTTGACTAATATATTTATCCAATGTACAGGCTTTTCTCATCTCTTCAATGTCAATTTTCAGCTGTAAAAAAAATATACCTTGAGTATTTTCAGCATATTTGAATATATAAATTCGGTTATAGAAAATAATAAAATTTAAAAAAGTTTTACTACAACTAACGAATAGAGATAAACTATTTAAAAAACGAACCAATTTCTCTTGTTCAATTAATAAATTCTTTTGTTTCTGCTTGTAATCCTTTAGCGATATTATGCCTTGTGGTAATTGTTTCAACTCTAAACACAATTTTTATGTTGAATTTGAATCACGAAATTTCAAATTCAATTTTTTTGAAAGCAGATAAAACAGAAATATTATATTACATAAAGTGAGGATAAGAAATAAAAGGAATAACTTGCAATTCATACAATGTAAACGCAAGAGATTCCATTTGCTATGATTAAAATACCGTAGTTTGTAACTTACGTGACCCGACGTACATCTCTTTCTCCTGTTTTATTTGTCACTAATAAAATGATGCGTTAAAGACAGTTGTTCCTTATTATCTTAAATTATACCATTCATCTAAATCGTTTGCTTTTAAAGATTTTATTCAGAAAAAAAAAAGAAAAAATTCAACATTTTGTTGAATTTTTTCTTTTTCTGATCGAAATAGTCGTTTTAATTTTGCTCGATTTGATTTCATATTATGAATGAAATATCAAAACCTTGAATTAACTGATCGTTGAGATGATCGCTGATTAAAATAGTCGTTTTAATTTTGCTCGATTTGATTTCAGATTCTCGTTTATTATCCTTGCTTTTATATGCACTTCGTATGTTATCTATGTTAAATTAAAACGCTAATTTTTGATTCATGTGTATGAATTCCTGATTTTATTTTAATGATGATAAATGAAATTTTTCAACAATTGAAATTATCTAAAATAAGATTTTTAATTTTTCTACAATTTTTTTTAAATTCTTTAAATACCTGCCTTTTTAACTCACAATACAACATAATTTCTAATGACTATTTAAGAACAGTTCAAAAATTAATTAAAAAACTCTCTTTTTACCATATTCACAAGTAGGAGAATATTTTGAATCATCTAAAAGATTTCCCGATGTTGATGCAGTTTTCTGAAAGTAAATCAATTTGTACAAAGTTCCTCTATCACTAAGTTATTATAGGTTAATGGATGACTTCGGA